ATTATCTAAAGTTTTCTGTTTTTCTAGGCTGTTCCTTTTCCAGTTCTTTGTCTAGAGAGAGCAGGTATTTGTTGGGACTTTTTTGTTTGCACCCATCTGGAGCCATTTGTATACTCGTGTCTTGAGTTTTTCAACTCCATTCATCCCTGTGTTATACCTTGGTACCAACATCCTTAACCGGTCTGCCTTCTTTTGTCTTTTTTCAGAGTCTTCTATGTTTATTATTTTCTATATATTGTCCAGTGCTTTTAGTTGTGCTTAGCGGGAACAATAAGAGAAGCTATGTCTACTCTATCTTTCTGGAGGAGATGTCTACCCTGACTGTTAAAACACCATGAATTAGTTTTGCCTGTTTATTTTTTTTTTCCTTACATGGAATCATATGGTATATGATCTTTTATTTTTTGCTTCTCTCACACCGTATTATGTTTATGAGATTCATCTCTGTCATTGCGTGTAGCTGTAGTTTATTTTTCTGTGGTACAGTGGGCATACTACAATTTATGTATCTGCTGTGGACAGAGTGGTCCCAGTTTTGAGCTATTCAAATTGTTCTGTAGTAAACGTTTTTATAGATGTCTTTTGGTGACCATATTACTATTTGATACATATATAGGAGTTGTCTCAGGGTGGACACTCAAGATTAGTAGCAATTCCAAATTTTCAAAGTGGTGCCATGTAGTTGGTGTACACCCTTATCAACACTTGGTGTTACAAGTTGAGCATTACTTATCTGAAATGTTTAGGACCAGGAGTGTTTTCAGATACAGGATTTTTTTCAATTTTTGAAATATTTGCATTATACTTCTTTGCTCAGTATCCCAAACAGAAAAAATCTGAAATCCAAAATGCTACAATAAACATTTCCTTTGAGCGTCATGTTGGTACTCAAAATTTTTCAGGTTTTGGATCATTTGGATTTCAGATTTTCAGAACAGAGGTACTCAACTGTGTTTGTTTTTATTTTAGCTATTTTTAGAGTATACTACATCATTGCATTCTGGTTTTAATGCTTTCACTGGTGCTTAATCAAGTGGAGTATCTTTTAGTATATTTATTGATCTCTTGCATGAGCTCTTTTGTGAAGTGACAGTTCAAGTCTTTTGCTCATTTTTCCTATTGGGCTCATTTTTCCTGTTGGGATATTTTCCTGTTGATTTTAAAGAAGAATTTTGTGTGTATCTGGATACATACTTTTTTTTGATATATGAGTATATACCTAACACACTCACCAAACTATCTTCTCCCACTCTTTGACTTTCCATTTCAGTCTAATTTTTTTTATGTGTGTGTAAACAGAAGTTCTTAATTTTAATGTAGTCTGATTATTTTTTATTAATGTTTAGTACATTTTGTGTCTTAGTTAATAAATCTTTTTTGTATCTGTAAGCCTTTAAGATATTTTTCTATGTTTTCTTCTGAAAGCTATGTTATTTTATCTTTTAAATCCACAATCGATCTGAAATTTATTTGTGTATATGAGGGACAGGTATCTGTTTATTGTCACTGTTTTTTTCATTATTCTAAGATGTTACCTTACATTATATATATCTATATATGCATACATATAGATTATATATATCTATATATGCATATAGAGGGAGCTCCCTTTTATTCAAGTGTTCTTTTTCTCTCTCTGTTCTCCTTCGTTTAAAAAAATTGTCCTGATATTGTTTCATAGTTGCATTTTTTTCCTGTTTCTGAAAATACTAATAATATATTTTTAAAACATTTTGCTCTTTATGTAGCTTCTCTTCTCTCCAGATTGATTTTTCATTTCCTGTTTGTTTTGGTTTTGCCTTTTAGGCAGCAGACAAATGTCTTATAATCCTTGGTAACTGCTCATATTTAGTGAAAAGGCTTGATAACTCTGAACACCTGTGTAGAGTGATTGGATTGGGTTGTTTGGTTGAGAGGGCTTCGATATCAGCATCGAGAGGTCTTGTCTCTTGGGCTAATCAGGTTCTCCGGAAAAGAGGCTTCAAGTTTCCTGCCTTAGAGGATGGAAGTTTTGCCAGCCACTGAGCACCTAAGGAGGAAAATGAGATGGAAGCTGAGAAGGGGCCAAGGCTCAGAATCGAGGATGTGCATGTTGATTTGATGCCTTTGTTTTCAGCCTGGTGCTACTACTTGCAACTATATCTGGTGCTCTTAGGCCAGAGAACTTCTGTTTTTTCCTTTTCAGAGAAAAAAGGCTATAGTTGTCTGGGTCTTAGACTTTCCGTCATCTCTGTTTTAGCAGCACCCTGACCCCACATTTGCAGAAAACCTAATATGGCCAACTCATGAGACTTCAAGAGATACTGAGTAGTAAATTGTATTCGTTCTTGACTGTTCCATTATCAACCAACCAAGGTTTTCGTTTTCTTGGATCTACTAAGTCATTTACCAATTGTTTAACTACTTTCTGGCTTCTAGAATTTTATTTGATTGCTATAATATACCCTTTAACTCTTTCTAGCTTGAATTATGACTGTAAAAATGTGTGTTGTATGTGCATGTATGCGTGTGTGTATTTATGGTCATTTTAGTGGGGTTTAGGGAAGGATTCAAACTAGATGTGTTTAATCTGCTCTCTTCAACCAGAAATGTCATACAATTTTATACATTTTAAACACAGGAATATTTCTTTCAATTTTGAGCTCTAGAATTAAAGCAATTTAGAAAATAAGTCCAGAGGGAATGACCTATTCAGTTGACGAAGTGAGATGGGACTACTGAGTTGAACAGGTGAAGGCACTAATGATGAAGGAACAATAAGTTTAGAACACTGAGGAAAATCTTCCAGAGCAAGGCAGCAAAAGATTGGACTTTGCTTTTCTTTCAAGTTTTCTGGGAGCAAAAAATATTTTCCTTTCACCATTAAGAGAAACAGGATTTGGAAACTAGATAGAGGTAATGGCCATACAGCATTGGGAATATGCTAAAGGGCATGGAATTGTTTACTTTAAAAAATGAATAACTTTGTGTCATGTGAATTTCACCTCAATGTAAACCTTTTTTGTAACCTAAGAAAAAGTCACATGAGCATTTTCTTTTCTTTTCTTTTTTTTTGAGTCGGAGTCTCACTCTGTCACCCAGACAAGAGTGCAATGGCCGCTCCCGGCCACCGCAGCCTTGACCTGCTGGGTTCCGGCGATCCTTCCGCCTCAGCCTTCCAAGTAGCTAGAACTACAGGCGCGCGCTACTACGCCCGGCTAATTTTTTTATTTATTGTAGAGATGAGGTCTCGCCAAGTTGCCCAGGCGGGTCACGAACCTGCGGGCTCAGGCAATCCACTCACCTCAGACTCCCAAAGGCGCGGGATTACAGGCTGAGCCACCGAGCCCGGCTCCACATGAGCATTTTCAAAGCTTATACATATGACACCTGGCTTTTGGGGATAAATTGACTTTTGATACAGACCCCCTTAAGTTGTGCTTCTGTTGTCTGCCTAGGTGCTTTGTAAGGATTAAAAACTGTTTGGAAGGATACTTCTGGAAGATTTTCAGGATGTTATTCTTCATTTTAGAAGGGAGAGCAAGATCTATTCCAAGGAGTGGCGAGTGAAATTGGGATTTTTCTCTGGTAGAGAAGATAAAAGGAATTAATAAGTATTTAATGTATACCTCCTCCCACCAGAATATGTTCATTGCAATAACATTAGAAATCTTGATGCAAACAAGACTTTTTGACTCTTTAATCATTCCATTTAATCTTTAATTTAGTAGACAGAAGGGAAATTCTAATGGAATATGGTACAGTTCCTATAAATTTATACCATTGCTAGGTTGCTCATCTCTTATATGAAAAATCTTGTCTGTTAAAAGGTTTAATTGAATTTTATCATTCAAGACATGTTGTATGTCTTTAGTGTAGTGTCTTAGAGCACGTGTCCCAAAGCTATAATATCAGGGTTCAAATCCTGGCTCTACCACTTATTAAACTTATAATGCTTCGTTTTTCCTCATCATGGACAAGATAATAAAGATATGATGAATATGAATTAATACACATAAAGATCTGTAAATGTTACCTGACACAGAGTAAGTGCTCAATAAATGTTATCTGCTTTTTTTTTCTTCCTGACATTTTTTAGGCCGTAATCTGTGAAAGCACATCTGGAGAGATGTACATTACATAAGCAGTGTGAAGATGACTTTCTTGCCCAGCTATCTTTGTCATGGCTCTAGTAATCAACTCCAGTTGCAATAGTGCAGTTGGCTTCCTCTTCCTCATTACATTTGTGGTTATGGTTAAACACAACCTATGTTTCCCTAGAAACTGAATTGTTCTAGCTACCTTTATTTTCTAAAAAATACTAGGCTTCGGCCAGGCTCGGTGGCTCAACCTGTAATCCCAGCACTTTGGGAGGCCAAGGTGAGTGGATTGCCTGAGCCCACGGGTTCGAGACCCACCTGGGCAACTTGGCAAGACCTCAGTTCTACAATAAATAAAAAATTAGCTGGGCATGGTAGCGCATGCCTGTAGTTCCAGCTACTTGGAAGGCTGAGGCGGAAGGATCACTGGAGCCCAGCAGGTCGAGGCTGCGGTGGCCGGGAGCAGCCACTGCACTCCAGTCTGGGTGACAGAGTGAGACTCCAACTCCAAAAAAAAAAAAAAATACTAGGCTTCATAATGCAGTGGATTTGTTTGATCAATAAAACCAAGAAACTATAAATAGTGTTTCTTTTCAACTCCCCATATTTGGTTTAGACATGATCCCTATCATTTGTACATTTTCCCTGGTGCTCAATGTAAAGATGGAAATGAATCTGGGCTACCAGCCTCCCATTGGAAGATGTAATTAGTCCATCAGTGGCCACAGAGAGTATTGGATTTTTTAAAAGCAGTTTTTCTTTATCAGTATTGTGTGGTCACAAGTGATATATGAAGAGCATTCTCCCTCACAACTATTGTTTGAGCTACAGATCCTAACTCCTTAGTTTCCTGCAAAATGAAGTTCTATTTTACATGTTACGATTTTCATTACTAAGCCATCTTCACATTTCACTTTACAGATCCACAGTCAACGTTCTGAAGGTTGTGAACTTTCTGATGGTATTGGAGAGCCATGGCAGATGATAAAGTCGCCATCTTGACCGATGATGAAGAGGAACAGAAAAGGAAGTACGTGCTTGCAGACCCCTTTAATGGCATTGCCCGGGAACCAGAACCACCTTCAAATGAAACACCCTCCTCCACAGAAACATCTGCTATTCCTGAGGAGGAAATAGACTGGATAGAGAAACATTGTGTTAAGATAAACAACGATCTTCTCATTTCCAAGGTCTTTTATTTTTTCTTTTACTCAGCCTATGGCTCTCTCTACCCGCTTCTGCCTGTGTATTATAAACAGCTGGGAATGTCACCAAGCCAGAGTGGACTGCTGGTAGGTATTCGCTACTTCATTGAATTCTGCAGTGCTCCCTTTTGGGGTGTCGTTGCAGATCGCTTTAAGAAAGGCAAAATTGTCCTCCTCTTTTCTCTTTTGTGTTGGGTTTTATTCAACCTGGGCATTGGGTTTGTTAAACCCGCTACCTTGAGATGTATACCAAAGATTCCCCCAACAGCTCACCCCACCAACACAAGTCACCCGTTAACCATCCTGCCAACGAATTCTTCTGTTATCTCTTTGCTTACATCACCAAAACTGCATGAGAAAAGGGACGTGTTTTCTTCTGGTTGGCCACTAATGTTAGAAACAGGGCCTAATGTCTCAGATACTGTTATGACATCAACGGCTCTGCACAAGACCAGTGAACCCACTCTGCAGCCCCAGACAGATGAAATTACTGACCATATGATGGACTTGACCTTGAACTCAAGCACAGCAACCCCTGTCCCCCCAGGAAGTGTAACCAGGGAGACAACCACTGCTATGGTCACGACCACCAAATCTTTACCTTCTGACCAAGTTGCTCTTGTTTATGATCAACAAGAAGTTGAAGCTATATTCTTGGTGATCTTGGTAGTTGTCATAATAGGAGAGTTTTTCAGTGCCTCTTCCGTCACGATTGTAGACACGGTAACGCTCCAGTACCTGGGAAAGCACAGAGACCGCTATGGCTTGCAGCGCATGTGGGGCTCCCTGGGCTGGGGTCTGGCCATGCTGTCTGTGGGCATTGGGATTGACTACACCCACATAGATGTGCTCATCGACGGAAAGGGCTGTAAGTCCCCGGAGTACCGGAACTACCAGATCGTCTTCATTGTCTTTGGAGTTCTCATGACCATGGCCTTGATTGTTGCCACGCAGTTCCGGTTCCGCTACAACCACTTCAAAAACAATAATAAAGGGAAAGAGGTGGAGATCCCTCAGGTAGAGAGGAACAACTCCACAGAGTCCTCTGAGGAGACCCCAACTACCACAAGCCACTCACAGACCTTCAACTTCTGGGACTTGATCAAGCTACTCTGCAGTGTGCAGTATGGCTCAGTGCTGTTTGTGGCTTGGTTCATGGGTTTCGGATATGGCTTCGTGTTCACCTTCCTCTACTGGCATTTGGAAGACCTGAATGGAACTACAACCCTCTTTGGGGTCTGCTCAGTCCTGAGTCATGTGTCTGAGTTGACGGCGTATTTTTTCAGTCACAAGCTTATTGAATTGATTGGGCACATCAGGTAAGAAAATGCTTCCTATTGCGGCCTCTCATCAATTGAACCTTATAGCTCCTTTGAACACATTTACAGATATCCTAATGTGTTGTGTGTGTTGGGTAGGGTTGAGATGGGAGTGGAACTTTCTGTTGCCCTTCTTCCTTAAAATAGAAACAAATGGAAAGATGTCATCAACCTGGTTGGATTATCTAAACAAACCAACCAACCAACGATGGCTGCCTTCTCCCTGCCACCTGTGAGCCGAGATATCTGGGCAACTTAGCTATGAGCTAAGAGTCTCTTATAGTAAATGTTTTCAGGTATAGGAGCACCAGTTTAGTGAATGTATTATCCATGAACCTTGCAGGGCCTATCTATCTGAGGCACTTATGAAGGACAGCTTCAGTGGATAAAGCAGAATATGTTTTATATGGTTTTTTATTCTCAGCCACTTGCTGGCATAGACAGAGCTTGAGTATATGGCATATAAAGATGTTCATTATATTTAACAAGGCTGTGAGGTAGCCCACCATAATCCTCAATCCATGATATTACATGGAGGAGGTTTATATATATATATATTTTCTGATTGCTACATAATGTTCTGCATTTTTATTTGCCATGAAGACATGGGATATTTAAAAATCTTTCTAGCCGGTCTCGGTGGCTCAGCCTGTAATCCTGCGCCTTTGGGAGGCTGAAGTGAGTGGATTGCCTGAGCCCGCGGGTTCGAGACCCGCCTGGGCAGGCAAGATCTCATCTCTACAATAAATCAAAAAAATTAGCCAGGCATGGTAGCGCGTGCCTGTAATTCCAGCTACTCGGAAGGCTGAGGTGGAAGGATCGCCGGAGCCCGTTAGGTCAAGGCCGCGGTGGCTGGGAGCAGCCATTGCACTCCAGTCTGGGTGACAGAGTGAGACTCCAACTCAAAAAAAAATAAAAAATAAAAAAATAAAAATCTTTCTTCCACTTAAAATTTTCCATGTTATCCTTTTAGTAAAACAAAGCAAAACAAAAAAAAGCTATAACTGCCTGGTGTTTCTTGTTGTGTAATGTTTCTTACCATGACTGTTTGCCTATAAAGAATCTTGTTCTTTATAGATCTTGCTGCTCTTTTGCTGACTTGGAAATGTAAACCCAGCTACACTTAAACATTCTTGCCTCGTAGAAAAGTATGACATGTCTGTTCAAAAATTTGAAGTTGCCGTAACTAAAAGAAAGCAACTGTATGTGTTTCTATGTAGGAGGTCATCTTTTAAATCTGCTATTTCTATAATAAATTAAAAAGGATAAACAGAACATGACAAGACTGAGAAACATTTATGTTTATTCCCTTCATTTTCTTTCTTCTACCTGAAGGAAATATTTTCTAACTTAAAGTTTCAACCTAGAATCAATCTTTTCCTTAAACAATTATGAATATTTTTTCCTGTTTGGTTTGTTTTTGCTTTGGAAGACTATGTCCTATTCCTTGGCTTTCTGAAATCTTTGACTGCCTTGTTATCGCTAAACGATGTCAGGCGCTGTATGGGTAGGTCCCTGATCCACAGGGGCACATTCGTTGAAAAAGAGCCTATAATACTGAGGAGTTGGGATGTCTTCTAACCTTGTACAGGCCATGTTTATGTTGTCTGAGCTGTGTGAGTTAACCAAGATGAGTTAGACACTTCCCTTCAGCTTAGGTGTATGAGCAGGTCTCACCGCAGTTAATGGTGTCTTTAAGATCACCATCATTCATTTCCAAAAAGGTACTCAATTGGGTCTTACCAATGAGTGGAGTTCCTGGAAGTCATTATCTAATAAGTCAACAGCATTTAGTTGAACACTGAATATGTGTTTAGGTTCTGTTTTCAAAGAAATTGTTAAGATTCTTTTCACATGCTAAGAAAAGATCGTGGTCTTCTACTTTTGCCTTTTGTCTGAGGGATATAAAGTGTTTTCATGATAAGATCCTAGTTGGTTTTCTACTACTTTTGGTAAGTTTGTGAGCTTACTCTTGTGTTTTCTTTCCTGAGTAGTATTAGTTTAAAAACTTATGGTTCCCTTAACCTTCATTTCCTGGTTTTATATACAGAAAGCTTCTTCATTTTCTTGTTTAATGATGTGATGGAAGAAGATGGCTCTTGTGGTCACACTATTGCTCCCAAGAGCCTGCTGGAGTTCCATCAATATGTGGTCATTGACCTCTTTGAATTATAATTCTGTCTATTAAAATGTATTAATTATTTTAAGTACTTTTAAAAGAGTCTGGTAGCTAAAATGAGATTATGTCCACATACTCAGGTAGGATGGATATGTTTCTTCTGGTAAGAATTTTAAGAACCTAAGCAGATGATAGTTGTTGAGATATGCGGGTTTAAAACTTAAACTTTCCATTGGAAGAACATCATACATTAAATAGTCAGTGAAGATAAACTATCTGTTTATGAATTGTAGATCTATATGTATTCCTTGTAGGGTCTCAAAGGTAGCTCTGTCTGGGAACGATATGTATGCGGGTACATTTTTTTCAGTATTTTGTGACTATCCTAGTGGGAGTTTGCTTTTACGAGTAAGTGCTACCATAAAAATTATAAATATCCAAATGTAGTTAGAAGTGGGTTTTCACAAATTCATTCTATAGAGTCATAGTAAGAAAAGTTAACACCAGGAAAGAATTTTTAAAAATAGCAAGTCCTGTTTTGAACCACTTGGTGCTTTAACAGTTAACAATATGGACCTTAACACATCCATATACACACAGAGTAAATGAATTCTGATTTTGGCCTTGGATTTTTTTCTTTCTCTGGAAAGTGACTTTCTCAAGCAAATAGTCTAGTGTTTAATATTTCCACTAAAAAAAGTAAGTGTCTTTTGATTTGAAATCACAAGACTTTGGAATTTACTGCAAGTGTATTTTTAGGCTCATTTATGTAAAAACGATTAACAAAATATAAATATACTTTAAGAATATCTTCACTTTGCTATTAGCTGGGTATGGTGGCGCATTCCTATAGTCCCAGCTATAGGAGGCTGAGGCGGGAGGATTGCTTACGCCCAGGAGGTCAAAGTTACAGTGAGCTATGATCATGCCATTGCATTTCAGCCTGAGTGACAGAGCAAGACCCTGTCAAATAAATGCATACATACATACATACATAGAGATATCTTCCCCTTACTGAATGTTTTAACAGTCCTGAGTAGGGTTGTAAATAAATGGCAATAAATCATTTGTGAATGTATACATCATTACTGTCCAGGGTAAGCCATTCCCTATATTAGTCAACTGAAAGTTATTTACATTTTCAGGGACACACACAGAGCTACTCCAGCAATCTGTCACTTTGCCCTGAAATTCTTACATTCAAGTTCAATCTTGCCACAAAAATGCTATTGGGGATGGGGGTGTGTGTTATTTTACCCGTCATTAGCCACGAATTACTACTTAATAGTAGCTTAGTAGCCAAATGAGCCAGCCAGTCCATTTGGGAAAGAAGAAACTACTGATGCGAACAGTAAGAGGAGTGGCACCGGGCTTTCCTCATGGGGCACTACAGGGAGAGCAGAGGCAGATAGCAGGGTGCAGGCTCTGTCGGGCAGAGAACACTTGGGAGCAGCATGTGATGGGGTCTGGGCATTGAAGGAGGGGCAGTAGGAAATGTAAGAGGGAGGAAACTGCAGCTGGGCGATCCATCTGAACTGGTCATGGAAGGATTTAAAAGAGTTTGGAGAAGATCATGTCTATGGTTTGCTGTGTTGCTTCTCATCATTGTCCTCATCTCTGTGGCTTCCTTCACCCTGTGTTTGGTGACTCTAGGTCCACTCTCCTCTGCCCCGTCTGGAGGGTTCTGACCTCCACAGAATGCGTCTCCCAGGGGCTGTTTTTCTGTCTTCTGCCTGAGTTCTTGAACAGCATTAGGTACACCAGAAGAGCTATTAAAGCTCTGAATTCCAGTCTGCACCCAGACTGATTGCATCAGTCTCTCCAGGGTGTGCCCAGGCTTCAGGCCTCTTACAGCTTCTGGCTAGTGCCAGGGTACGGCAAGACTGAGAACCACCAAGCTGTTGAGAGGCAGAGGTGAGGAAGGATGGGGGAGGGGAGAAGGGAAAAAAACAGAGCCTATCCGTCTCTCCAGTTCCTGCAGCATTTATGTAGAGGCTTTGGAGAGTGTCCCCCAGTCCTTGCTCTGGTTCTGGAAGTTTCCTTCCATGCACGTGCTGGCCAGCACTCCGCTGAGACTGGAGGGGAAGCCCCTGCAGATGCTGCCTCTCAGTCACTCGCTCCACTCCGGTGCTCTGTCCTGCTTCCCAGATGCTCAGCCTGGTCCCCTCAGCTCAGGGGGCCTCTGTAAGCTGCTCAACTCTTCTACTCCCCCCGCTGTGGTGACCCTGAGCCCAAGCAGCAGCCCCTCCTCATTATCCTTCCAGCACAGGCTGTGGAGAGGCAGCCTTTGGCTTCTCCCATGGTCTGGCCTCTCAGCTCTTCCATCACCTACCCACCCAAGTCCCCATTGAAAGACAGATTGGTGCCTGTCTCTGATCAGATCCTGATTCACACACCATGCTTCACCACTAAGAAGACTTCTGATGGAAGTTACCATGGTGAAGAAATAGAACCAAAGTAGAAACACTCAATTCTTGATTAAAAAACAAAAAGATGGCCAGGCATGGTGGCTCACACCTGTAATTCTTCACTTTGGGAGGTCAAGGTAGAAGAATTGCTTGAACCCAGGAGTTCAAGACCAGCCTGGGCGATATGGTGAGACCTTGTCCCACCTGTAGTCTTACTTACTTGGGAGGCTGAGGCAGGAGGATTGCCTGAGTCCAGGAGGTTGAGGTTGCAATGAGCGGTGATTATGCCACTGCACTCCAGCCTGGGAGGCAGAGTGAGACTCCGACTCAGAAAACAAGCAAATAGACAAAAAGATGATAGACTGTGAATAACTTTTTTCTCCTTCTGGTTTCTTAAGAGAGGGTTATTTCTTCCTTAAGAATGATTTGTACCACAATAAAAAATGTTTTAAAAGTTTTAATCTTTATAGTGA